CCCCTTCTCTCCTTGGAAGAGCCGCGTGGCGCCGCGCCTCCCGCACCCGCGGTCGCCTGGCAAACCCATCCTTCTACCGTCGGGATTTGGACAGCCGCCTTTCTCCGCTCCCTCTCTCCCGGCCATCATTCATTCACCACGCCCCCAGGCGTTGACTCTCCCACCGCAGGCGTCTACAGTTTGCAAGGCTGTTTCACATTTACCCCTTGAATTAACACAATTTTCTGAATTTGGCCGTGAGCCAAGAGCTCCTGCCCAGCTGCTAACTTGGACAAATCATTCTCTTCCCCCCGGCCTCGGTTTTCCCCTCTATAAAATGGGGTGATGATACACAATGTGAGGAATACTGATAGTGAATGTCCCTTACCTGTAGTTAAGTGGATACCCAATATGAGTTATTTTAGAGATGAGGAAAGATTTCACAGAGATGATGTCACCTCCCCAAAGTCACATTACAGGTAAACGACAGACAGTCTCAGTTCTTCCTATATCCATGGAGCACATGATGCCTCCCTGCTGGGCACTGGACTGGGCCCTGTGGGAGCATTGTCTCTGCTCTTGGGGAGCTCATGGATGAAGGCAGAGTCACATTCTCTCTCAGCTTACTTTAGTACAAAACAGAATGGTGGGTATCACTGCTCGATGTCTTCCTTTGTGAGTCCCATGTGATGCCTGAGAATGTCATGTACTTTATTTTCACAACTAGGGTTGGCCAGTGCCATTGTCAGGAAACAGACACGCAGAGATTGTCACTTGTCTAAAATCAAACAGTAGTGAATAAGCTTTTTCCACTTCACCACACTACTAAGAAAGCACAGAGGTGACACCAGGGCAATCAGAAAGGCTCACCAGAGGAGGTGATATTGGAGCTGGGTTTTGAGGGATGAATAGGAGTTCTAAAGTTGAAGGAGAAAATAGAGAAACCAAAGAGAAGTCCATAAGCCAAGGCGTAGGGGCTGAAAGAGCCCAACAAGGCCCCCCTCCATCCAACCAGAGCACAGGAGGCATGGTGAAGATGTCTGAGAGAAAGACAAAACCGATGGAGTCAGTCAGGCTTGGTGACAGACTGTGAAGGCAATGCTTCTTCCACATTTTTATGGTTACTGAAATTTAATTTTCCCTTTCAAGATTCAGCTGGAACATCACCACCTCCAGGATGCCCTTTCTTCATCCCCAGGCTGCACTGTGTGCCCCAGAGTCCCTGCTGTCCCTCCATCATGGTCCTGAGTATTATCAAGATCCCTTCCACACTTCCCAGTTTCCTGGCTATGACCTCCCTGGTTCTGCTCTGCATCCTCTGGACACTAAGTTTCCAGGGGTCTCCTAGACACTCCCCCTGTCTGACCCTCCTTTGGCCCCTCTGGGCAACAGGCCTTCTTCACTCTAAGAAGCGCTGGGGAGATCTGGTAGAAGCTCCTGCCTCAGCTTGTCCCCTCTTCATCACCAATCCACCTTTGTTCAGTCCAGGATGTCCTATGTGGAATGCCCCGTAACAGTCCGATGAAACTTCTCCACACTCCTTGGACCCCCAGACCCACTTCTGCCCCCTCAGTAGGTGACTCCACTGCCATTACATGGAGAAGCTTATGCCACTTTCTGCCCCATCTCTTTGGATATTCTCTGCACCACATCCTAACCCCTGGAACCTGTGAATATATTACCTTCCATGGTGAAAGGAACTTTGCAGGTGTGATTAAGTCAACGGTCTCAAGATGGAGAGATTATTCTGGATCATCCAGGCAGGCCCAATGTAATCACAATGATCCTTATAAGGGGGAGGCAGGAGGGTCAGAATCAGAGAAGGAGTGGTGACAAAGGGATTAGAGGGTCAGAGTCAGAAAGAAATTTGAAGACACCTTGTTGCTGGCTTTGAAGGTAGAGGAAGAAGCCATGAGCCAAAGAATGCAGACAGCCTCTAGCAGCCAGAAAAGGCAAGGAAATGGAGTCTCCCCTAGAGACTCTGGAGGGAGCATGACCCTGCCAGTATCTTGATTTCAGCCAAGTGAAACCCATTTCAGACTCCTGACATCCAGAATTGTATGATAATAAATTGGTGGTGTTTTAAGGCCCTAATTTTGTAATTTGTTACAGAAGCAATAGGAAACCAATACAAATACCTAGGAATGTTTGATCTCATGGACTAGGAGACAAGAATGGGAATGTTCACAGTAGCTCTTCTTATAATAACAAAAAAACTGGAGACAACCCAAGTGTCCAACCCCAGGAGAATGGTAAAGGAACTGGTGAACCTTCATACAGTGGAACCCTTCATACTATACAGCAATAGAAATCAGCAAATTACAGCTACACGTGTCAATTTGGATGAATTTCACAAACAACACAGTGCAAAAAGGCAGCCTCAGAAGGGTGCATTCAATATATGACTATGTAAAGTTTAGAAACATGCAGTACTCTACTTCATATTGCTTGGAGATATGTACAAAGTAGAAGTATGGAAACAGTAAACACCAAACTCAGCAGCATGGATGTCTGGCAGAAGGCAGGTGGAATCAGGAGGGAGACAGAGGGTCACTAACTGTCAGTGTCACCAAGGGATAGTTCAGTTTCTAAGCTAAATGAAGGTACACTGCATTATTCTTCATACTTTTGAGTAAGTCTGAAAACTTTTATAAAAAATTAATAATTTTAGAGTCTATTTTTAGACCCTAGCTTGAAGTCAGACAGACCTGGGTCACATTCTCTGCCACTTCCTACATAACCAAGAGCAAATTCCTTTATTCCCTGGGTCTCAATTATATCATCTGTAAAATGGGTAGTTGAAGGATTAGGTGGCTTAATATGTGTCTAGCACAATCCCTGGCACTTAGTTGGTGCTCGAAAAACAGCAGCTGCAATGGGTTCCTCTTTCTTTTTTCGGGGGAGGTTCCTCTTTCTAGAAACAATCCCTTGGTTTTAATTTACAGAGCACCTACTATGCCAGCAACTTCCAGGCGCTGATTGGGCAAAGGCAACACTTCATCTTCATGGTTCTGCTCTCTGCTTCAGTCTTTAAATTCATTATTCCCTAAAGATTCAATTGCCAACCTCTTAAAAAGACAGCATTATTGAGATATAATTCACATGCCATATAATTCAGCGATTTAAATTGTACAATTCAGTGGTTTGGGGTATATTCACCGGGTTGTGCATCTATTGGCACAATTTTTAGAACATTTT